GATGTGAAAAATGTAAAACGAATAGAAGAAAGAAACAGGATATGCATCGAAAATTAGAGGAGGGACGAAAAGAATGAAAGGCAATGTGCATGGTTATTCAACATATTATATATGGTACCTTTGATGTAAAAGACTTCTTTTCTGCTGTCCACGAGTAAGGACCCCCTGGACATACATAACTATTATCTGTTTCTGTCTGTTTACTGGGCTCACTTTAGAACTTTGCAAAAGAAAACTGTAAACTTTAGAACAATGTGAAAGAAAATTCGAAAGTTCAATTTACATTAAAATTTTTCCAATATCGATATTACCTGCTAATCGCATTAAAATTAGCTAACAACAGAGTACAAAAAATATAGTAAGACTAGAATTCTCTTATTGCGTGTGTCGAGTTTAGTACTGTATGCTAATAAAATTTTTGAATTGGTTTAGTCTAGTTGAACCTTATAAACTTCTTTTCCACTGTCCACGAGTAAGGACCCCCTGGACATACATAAATATTATCTGTTTCTGTTCGTTTACTAGGCTCACTTTAGAACTTTAGAACTTTGGGAAAGAAAATTGTAAACTTTAGAACAATGCGAAAGAAAATTTGAAAGTGCAATTTACATTAAAATTTTTCCAATATCGATATTACCTGCTTATCGCATTAAAATTAGCTAACAACAGAGTACAAGAAATATAGTAAGACTAGAATTCTCTCATTGCGGGTGTCGAGTTTAGTACTGTATGCGAATAAAATTTTGAATTGGTTTCGTCTAGTTGAATCTTGTTAATAGCTGAATGATAAAACACTTGTTGATAGTTTGATTTAGGTTTGAAGATAAGTGAATGAATTGACTGCATCATAGATCTTTTGTGCAAAGTCAGTTTCTCTTAGAAAGCCCTTCACGATGGCAGCCCTGACATGTTTACGATAAATAGCTCTCCTATGTTCTGCAATATCCAAATAGTATAACCTATTTTTAGTTGAAAAGGAATAAATTACGTGTTTTGTTTTGTAAAAAAAAAAAAAAAAAAAAAAAAAAAAAAAAAGGTATCTTGTTGAAATTTAGTTTCTTAGAGGAAAGAAGGAAAAAAAGATTATATATTTATTGTTAACTGAGCCAGCCAGTTATATCAACAAAATTTAATTTTGCTTCCTTTAGTTGAAATAGAAAGATGTGTATTTTGGTGAATAGAAAGGGTTTTATACTTCCGTTTTGCCATAGAATGTCTGTTTTGTATTTTATTTTATGGAAATTAAAATCTTAATTTTTTTTGTTGCCAACTTTTCTAGGTGGGGAAAATGTTCTTTATATTAAAAAATAGCAGTCTCACATGTGCATATTAATAAATAAATATAAGCCTATAGGAAACAAACCTGTTGCCGAGATATTCTTGGATATTCAGGTAGATTGTGATCATATTATCCCGGGTATTCATTGAAATTAGTTGAATTTCTATTGAAAAGCTTACTTCTTCTTCAATGCATGTTTGATATAATTTCTAATATTCGCATTTTTGAGCATGTATATTAACACACAAATATTCTTGAGAAAACCTAACTGTAGAAAGATGAATCTAATTATGATCAGTTCTACAGAATTTTATTTTAAAATTCGTTATGATTTGCATTTTTTTAATGCAAAAATATTTTTTTTTCTTTTCATGTTTCGAAACTTTCACCATTTACCCCTTTAAAAATAGCTGCATATTATTATACTGAAAAATAAAATTTAAGAATGTAGTGAATTCTGGGAAATAATCTTAATTCAATGTATTGAAAACCAAATTATAAATATAAATATTAAAAAACTTATGTTTCTGTATTAGGTATTTACCTTGAAAGTAATACTGATAGAAAATGTTTAGTAAAACTGTGCATTACCTCTATTTAACTATAATATTTCGAAAAAATATTTTCAATTTTCCGACTGCACATACAAAAACTCCTTTTGCACAAAACGCATTAAGAACGTTGGCCCATCAGGCAAACTAGCAATAAATTCTCTGAACACTGGTAATTCGGCCCAGAATTCGAGTCCCACGAACAAGCTCACTCCGTAGGCGTTTTCTTTGTTTCCCCGTATGCAACGTGTATACGAGCCAGCTTCCTTCTGAAATTCCTCCACAAAGACATCCCTATCCTTAGGCAAGTAACCTTTGAGTGTTTTGCCATAATCAAATTAAATAAAATTTAAAAAAATAAGAAAGTAACAAGATCATTAGACTAGTGTCTCTGTTTGATTCTTTCTATATATAGAGAGAGAGGAAAAAATTTAAAAGTATAGAGACTTATAAAACCATAACATTCAATTAAAATCCGATTCAATTATTCATCAAAATCAGATTTCTTATAATTTTTTAACACGCACATTTCTAAGGGCAATTGTTTATTTGCTCTTAGCCCCCCCCCCTCCAAAATAAGTAGTGGAATAGTAAAATATACTGATATTTTAAAGAAAATAATAATTATGATACAATTAATAAACTCGCGGCTTTCCTTACTTATTGCTGCACACAAAAGTGGAAAATTGCATGACAAAAATTTAGACGTCTGTGATTATGATATGAAAATAAACAAGTTTTTTACTTCATGTTCAGTTAATTAGTTCTGTCATTATATCAAGTAAATTGCGAAATATTATTTATATCCATAGTTTCAAATAAATTCTGGATGAAAAATACCCAAAGCTGCAAATAAAATAAGAAATTTTCTAAGTTACAAAGATATTTTACTTTATTAAAAAAATAAGGAAAACGTATCGAAAATCATATTGTTTCAGTGAGAAAATATTGCTTCTATCCTAGGCAAGCAATCACATATAAGAGGTAAATTAAGTAATTAAAGTGAAGGTTACTAGAAAAACAAAAAATATTTTGATATTATTGCCTGTATGCATATAGATTGCTCATAAAGAGTTAAGTAAATATATATATATATATAAACACGTACACACACATATACATGCAGGTTTATGAACCAAAAAAAATTAAACATTTATAATTCTTTTCTTTTAATGTCTTGATTTGCAGTTTTTCACAAAATTTAGATTTGGTAACATAAACCCCGACTTATAATTTTTTAAAACGCACAAGCCGAATCATAAACGCTAACATATACCTTCTTGGAAACTACCAAAGGGCAAAGTTTTGACAATGATTGATATTTTTATAGCTGAAACTAATCAGTTCACTTGATGATTCTCTGCGGGTGAGGGGGATAAAAAAACTACTTAACGCTTTTCATGCATTCTGTGAAAGAAAGGTTCCGCACTTTTCAAACATTTTCGTTGACAACGCTGGTGACACTTTAGAAAACAATATTTTATCTTTCTCAAAACCTCCAGAGGGTTAAAGTGACAAAAGTGAAACCAAGAATGAAGAATGGTTATATTACTTTCAATGTTTATACCATTTAGAGTTAGACTGACAAGAAAACCACCTTTCAAAACAAGTTGTTTTTGGATAATAGTAAATCTATAAAAACTGAACCTCTTACCACATTTCAAAGAGGACATTACATTAAACCCCTTAAAAGACTGTATTTTTGATTTTGCAACTTTGTTACATTATTCAAGTGATGATAACACAAAGTAAGAGACACAGCCACAAATTGAAGTGAGTTAAGCACTTGCTCAAATGAACTGAACTAAGCTGATCATCCTCAAACAACCCTTTTTTATAAAAACTCCTATTGTTATTATTCTAACATTGTACTAATACTAAAATTTAGTACATAATAATAAAATATAAATGCAGTGGGTGAAGTGTATGCTGTACCTAAATGTAGCACTGCACATGATACTATACATAAATGTTTTTGTGCAATCCATGCCAAAAGCAATTTTTCAGCATGCTCTAACATCTAATGTCTCTATCTGTCATCTAATGTCCTGTAAGCTTTGTTTGGTAACTGATTTCAGCCCTTAATCAATGTTAGTCAATTTAACAGCGTTTTCGTTTTCCAAAATTGTACCCAGCCTAGTATTCAGCATACAGTACACAATAGCCAAGTCCTGGATACTCATGCCATCTTCATATTTTTCAACAATTTCTTTTTCACCTCCATGGTGATGCTAACAATTTTCTTCATTGCTTGATTCTTCTCATTTGCTTCCTAAAGCTAACTGCTAATGGATTAACAAAAAAATTTATGCGAACAAAATTCACTAGAAAATTCAAATCTAGCACAGGTTGTTTACTGAATACTAGCAATAGGTGTACTGACGTTCATGGGCAGTTGTAGCATTGTGTTGAAAGAGGTGAACAAGGTAGTGTGCACAGTCATAACTCATCAAATTCGAGTCATATTCAAATCAAACGTACCAAACAAAAACTTTTGAATTCAAACAGGATGTATACCAAGTTGGATGTACACCAAAGTACCGCTATATATAAAAAATATTGTACCACCAACCTTTCCATGGCCCATTTAATAACCACACTTCCTACGTTCCTATTTAAATTTATTTTTTGCAGAAACAGGCAATTTTTTATTTTGAAGATAAGTTAGACATGACAAAATAAAGATCTTGTGCAAATTTTATGTTCTTGGCAGCAAAATCATTCAGGTTATATAAGTTTTTTGAGTTGTTCCTCTCATTTTTTTTTTCAGCAGTAAATAATACAGTAGTTAACCTCAATTTTAAACTTGATTCCAACTGAGCATATCAAACTGCTATTTGATGTTAATGAAGAGAACAAATTGCTGCTCTTTGACAAGGTTGAAATATAAGAGTAAGTATGTTAGTTGATGCTCTCTGTGTTCTAAATTAAATTTCACTGCACATTTTACTTAAATTTACTTGACTGTTGCACTTTTTTTAACTTTGCATGTCACAAATGGTTAAACACAATGAAAGAACAGTTCACAATTAAAAAAAAATTAAACTTCTTATGGCATTAAGCTACAATAGGTAGTTTTCATGCATAATTTTAGGAATTTATTTTTAATATAATAAAGAAAGAAAACAAAACAGGCATACATAAAATACAGAGTAAAATAAAAACCTTACCGGCAATGACTGTATTAATGCATTCATACAGAAGAGACATTGCTGAAGTACTGTAAAAAATATTCCATGCATTAACATACTTCTTAATGTATACACTCATACACACATTAACAGTGCAACTTGATAAACATAAATTAAAAGAGTTTCCTTTCTAGTTGCAGACTGATTTTTTAGTTGATGCATTTTTTTTAATTAACATAATTTGCAGAATAAGACATAGCTAGAGTTTTAAATCTTTTTCTATAAAAAATACTCGAATGCTTGTAAATAGAATATATTGAAAAATGCACCTAAAAAGTATAAGCTGAAATAAGAAATTTAGAACTTCTTCATGTGTAATATATTAACATCCACACATTACAAAAACTATTACCTGACACAGTCTGCATCATCATGCTAGCAAAAACCTTACTTAAAAAAAAAAATAAATAAATAAATAAAAATAAATAAATAAACCTTATGATGGGAAGCAAACAAAAACAAATATCAGTTAAATTAGTAGGTAAGGAAATCTTAAGCAGTGTATTGTTAATTCAAATTGCCACATATATTACACAGAAGTTCTACAAACTATTCATAAAAAGTCCTAGCATTGCCCATAAAACGGAATCCCAATTTTTAACAAACGTTAATGATAACAATGCAGTTGTTTTGCAGCATACACTTATGTGTTACAACCCACGGCAGCCACGGATGTTCACATGCATGCTTATGTGGTAAGCAAGCTAGCCACTCCACATAGATCATATATTTGGATTCCAGAAAATATTACACTAATTTACCCAAAGTATAGTACTACGCAGAATCCACAGCAAACTACATCACAAGCCTCAATGTTAATGCAGGATAACATCCCTACACACATATACTTTTGATTACTGTTAATAAACATATGCATTTTGACATGATTCCACTTCTTATACGAATTCTATGCACCTCTAAAGAGTCTTTAATTGATAATATTGGTTCAGTTTCAACATTTTTAGGGCTTGCAGGAACAAACTAATAATAACAGGATTGTCACTCAAACAGAAGTATGAAATTAACTGACTTTTCCAAGTTTTCCAGGTGTGTTTTAAGAAAATTCGAGTCTATCCGCATAATTCGCGTTGGCTGTACTGAGAGGTAAATTAATTATGGTACCACTTGAAAACACAAAATTTACCAATTATATATGACAAAATCGCTTTCCCAAAGCACTACTATTATAACTATAATCGAAGTTGTTTTCTCCACTGAAGACTAAGATTAGAATCTGCCTAATCTGGATTATAAAAATGTCTTTTTTGGAGAAACTTTGCAGCTAAGCGAAAGAAAGAAATCTATTTAATGATATTTTTAAATAAATTCCGGTATTTTACATTTATTTAGCAGCACACATAAGCAAAATATACGTGCATTAAATTTCGTGGTGGTATGTCATCATACTGCTAGAATTAGTTGCAGGAGTATGCCAGAGAAATTTGCCTAAAATTTGAAAGCATTATTAACTCATAATAAATGCATTGTAGAGACACTAGGTATTATTTTTTGAAGCAGCAAGATGAAAAATTAACAACGCCTTCGCCGGGAATCATACCACAGACCTCTGGAATACTGGCTCAACATGCAGAACCACTACACCACGAAGGCACACCAAGAAGGTGGGAGAAATTCCTTATATACTCCCCCTTTTTTAAAGGGTGACTGGAGTTTTTAGGGGACCCAATTGCCAAATCCTGGTGAGGAGAATCATCTAACACCCTTTTAGTTCCAGCATCACTGTAGAGACATTAGGCATTATACTAGAATTGAACCGACTTTGTTTTATACAAGAATGGAAATGCATTTTCTTTTGTTCAACATGCACTGCACATACCCATGCGAATCTCTTGCTTCTCAACGTTACTGGAAACCAGAGTTGTTGAAAACTTGCCTTGCCTTTCTAAAAGACAATCTGATAGCAGCTGCAAAAACTGGCCCTACAACAGCTGCCTGAATGATGCTTCATGCGATCCATAATTCATGGTGATCACTTCGAACATTGGTTTAAAAATCGCTTTTTGGCTGGAAAGCAGTATGAAATTCCCTGACTTTCCCAGATTCTGACTAAAATATTTAAATTCCCTGATTTCCCCCCCCCCCCGAGTTTTTTAGTGAATTTTGAAATTCCGACTTTCCCGGTTTTTCAGGTAGCGTGGCAACCCTGTAATTAGAACTTTTAACCAGACATAACTTCCCAGCACACTGTCATATCATTGGAGAGACTATACTTAGCGCATCATTTTAGGTAGAAATTAACATGTTTCCAACTTGAAGCGATACACACAGTAAACTGTCCCTGCATGTATCCTTTCATCGTCACTGCAGCTACTGTGATAGCTAGATGATGTCAAGCCATTACAGTTACCTAATGATCCTGTCATGCAGCTGGCCATTATAATCATCTTCAGATATCCTCATTAGCTTAAAAGCTTTTCCCAGACCTAAAAAAGTTGCTTTGTGAAATGCTGAGACCTTCAGACATATGCCTCGGAATTTCTATGTGCTATAACCATTGGATACAGGTGACTTTTCATTCTGTGCTTTAAATGCTTTGAAATACTGATTTCTCGTGCAATTTTGATATTACAAAATAACTAAAACTGATCTTTAGGTTTTCACCGCAACCAATATGTGGGAACTTCCACCTCATACAGAAGTCAGACAGCATTGGCAAATTATATCTGCTAATATGCATATTTGTGGTTCCCTTAATTAAATGATGTATGTAATTATTTATTAAATGCAGCTTTTCTCCTTGATATTTTCATGAAAAAGTAATTACTAAAAATCTGCAATAAAAAGGTTGGTGACATTTAAAAATGCAGAGCACCTGTGGCCTTCTGTCCATTTTCATAAGTTACATCAATTTTTTATTTGACATCATGCTACCAAATTCAAAGCAATTTAAAATAAACCATAGCTAACTTTTTTAATATATCATTACCCAAATATAAATATTCCCAATTTTTTTAAACCTTCCTTTACAAAGCTTTACTTTTGAAAAAGAATTACATCGGTACTGGTTTTTACTAATCAAAATGAATCTGAAGGGGAAAAGCTGAAAAAGAGGAGATGAAAAAAACCATCAGAATACTTAGTCTATCTTGTGCAGTGATTGAAAAAGACAGACAGCAATTTTGTATAAATTACATATCTTCAGGGCAGACTAGTGGAGTGTTTTGAAGTCTGGATTGGATTGGATTATTCAGTTATGGCAAAGCACAGGAGGACTATCTGCCTGAAGGGAGGGATGCCTTTGTGGAGGACTTTCTAAGGGAAACTGGCTCATATACAAGTTACACATGGGGAAAAGCCAGCCTGTTCGCGGGATTCGAACCTCGGACCGAACTACCAGTGTTCAGCGTCTTTACCTGCTCGGCCGCTGGTGGGCTTTTGAATTCCATGAAGGACCACATGAGAGATGTGTGTGTGTGTGATTATGGCAAAGCCTCGAGGGTTATCTGCCTAAAGGGAGGGATGCCTTCGTGGAGGACTTTCTAAGGGAAACTGGCTCGTATACACGTTACACATGGGGAAAACCACGAAAACACCCATGCAGCCAGCCCGTTCGCGGGATTCGAATCTCGGACCGAACTACCAGTGTTCAGCGACTTAACCGCTCGGCCGCTGGTGGGCCCCCACATGAGAGAAAAATGCTCACATAAAAGGTTTATACACATGTAACCTTTTAGGCAACCAGTTGTTTAGAGCAATGATATGTTAACTGAATAAAGCAAAACACATAAGAAGTATCTGCTTGAGGAGAGGAATGCCTTCGTAGCGGCATTTTTTATGGAAACTGGTTTATATTCATTAGATATGGGGGAAACCAACCATGCAGCCAGGCCAATCACTTGGGCTCAAACTCCCAGTATTCAATGGACTGCTACTTGTGAGGTAAATTTAGAACCAAATTTTTATCCTATTTACCATTAAAAGAATGGCATGCCTTTTCTTCTTCTGTTCCTTTCAAAATATTGCAGGCATGAAATACATTTTCAACTAACCAGTTAGTTATTCATACTGATATTTTCATCATCATTCGGAGCATAGTATTAAAGCAGATAGAAAAGATTTTCTGTACCTAGTAGTCACATCACAATCCACAATAGTCAAATGTTTTAAATGCTTTCCACCTTTTGAAAAGAGTTAAAAAATTTCAACAGAATGATAACAGTCCCAGATCTAACTGTGCAATCAGGGAATTAAGCTATCTAGTGTTGTATTTCAAGCAGTCCAGTTTAAAGTCCAGTTTAAACATAGCTCAGTATACCAAACCCAAACCATCCATAATGAGACAAACAGACACAAAAGAAACTATAGCATCATTAACTTATCTACCACGATAGATTTAAATGATGAGATACTAAAATATGACCCTTCCATTTTTTTTTCTTTTTTTTTCTTACACATCAGACTCCACAATCTTTCATTTCTAATATTTCAGACAAGCATTGTTACAATCCCCTCTGGACTTTCCATTATGCTCAATATATTTCCAGCTGTGAAAATTGAAATGAAGCTGTACACAGCATTATTTCTAGTTTGTATACATTGCATAATTTACTACATCATGCCTGCTTCCATTCTGTGTCAGCATTTTTTAGGTTTTATTAGTTATTCAATATAACTTTTTTTTTTTTTTTTTTGTGTTACAAATTACAGAGCAGGTTATTTTTTAGCAAGGATGGCCTCATAATCCTGATTTTTTTTACTTAATGCCATTTCAAATTACAAAAAGTTTTAAAGGAACATGAACTATAATTTTCATATAAGTGGCTTTATACATGTAAATTTGAGAAAAATGCTTATCATTTTCAAGACTATTTATTACCCAATGAGATCTTTTCAAATGACTTCTTAAACTAGTAAAAGTCACTAAAGAAATGGATACAAAAAAAATTAAGGAAACATAACCTGAAAGTCTACACATCTCAGCCACAGACTTAGTACCGTGACATATATAACCATGTACACTTCATCTCTGAGAAAGCTCTTGGTCATATGCAGGGCTGGAATATAGGTA